TCATAATAGTTGCCTTTCTGGTCCATTCAGGGAGGCCTGAATAAGCATACATTCATACTGTCACGAATAGTCTGCAGTGATAAATCAGCAAATGAACACTAGCCCTCATGTACTTTTTGGCTGTAGTCAATTCTCCTGAAAGATTGATATGCCAAGCATTTGAATTTCCTTTTCAGAAACAATAATTTTATATTAGGGCTATGTTTCTTTTGTTGCTTAGAGAATCAGAAAATTGTTTGCTTTTGTGGAGCGCAGGGTTGAAAGAGGGCTTCATTCGTGATTGGCTAGTGCTCTGTCACTGAGCTCCAGCCCTAGCCCACGGTAAGATTTTTCTCATTGGAGTCTTATAAATGACAGAGTTTATTTAGGTCAGATTTTACTATAGAAGATTATAAGAAATGGCCAACTTGTATTTCTGTAGGGAGGTAAAGGGGAGCAGTTTATGTGAAGGATTTTATTGTATATACAGATGTTTGTAAATTTTTGGTTGGTTAGTTTAGTTTTTGTAATAGATTGACTGTAATTTGAGGTATATCTACAGTTCATCTAATACAGCAGTTAATCTATTCAGTTTTTGGAAAAAACAGGCAGGCAAGACCTTAGAGGGAAGTGACAGGAGTTTTGTACAGCTGGTGTCAGGCAGTAGGTGTTGTCACACCTGCTGATGAGGCGGGTGCCCGGTAATTTGTTTCTGGCTGCTGCTCCATGTAGCAGCCTGGAAATGCTTAGTTGAGAGCATAATGTGATGATGCCACCAGGTCTCGCCACCATCTGAGCACCTGATGCAGCATTTCAGAAACACAGAAACCACGAGACAAACTTGTTTTGGTCCTTTTCCTTTCCTGGAATCAGGCTCATCTTTGGTAGTTGTGTGACCGGAGAGGCCCGTCAAGTAAGTGCCCGCTGTACTTTTGGTACATTAGGTTGGCAGGTCAGAATGTACCCTACTTTTAAAAATTGAAGTAAAAGGCTGGGCATGGTAGTGCATGCCTGGAATCTCCAACCCTTAGGGAGGCCGAGGCAGGAGGATCAGAAATTTGAGCACAGCCTGAGAAACTTAGCAGTTGTCTTAAATAATAAATAAAAAGAGAGTGGAGAATGTTCCTCAGGGTGAAGGCCCCCAACTATAGCAAAAACAGAAATATTCTCAGATAGGAAGCGTCCTTCTCAGCAAATTTTACAGAGAGCCAACACACTTGATTAACAGTTCCCAGATCAAAATGAAACACTGGAAGCCCCGCCTAGTTCCAGTACAGGTGTTTCTGATTTAATGCCCTGCTCAACAACTGTTTGGACTTCCCTGCAAATTTTACAGAGAGCCAACACACTTGATAAACAGTTCCCAGATCAAAATGAAACACTGGAAGCCCCCGCCTAGTTCCAGTACAGGTGTTTCTGATTTAATGACCGGCCTAACAACTGTTTGGACTTCCCTGCTGCTCAGACTTACGCCTCCTCTTTTTTTTTTTTTTTTTTTTTTTTTGTACAATTCTGCACTTTTGTTCATAGACCCCCAATGTTTTTTTTCTATTTAGTAGTCTTTATACAGTACTATAATTTTCCTGATGGTTCTCTATAGTACTTCAGTTTTATGTTCTGTTATACATTATGTGCTGGATAGAAGTTATGCAACTAAAGGCAAAGTCATCAAGTTGGAATGTCCTTTGACCATTTCTCTGTTCTGAATATTGTAATGTATATACTATATACAGTTCCTCATTTAGTAACTAATCCTTTTAATGCTATACTGACAGGAATAGAACTTGATGGTTAAATGAGGAATCCTTGTAACTTTCCTGGAATTCTAACGATGGTCTTGATCTCTCACCATTGATTATTTTTGCTTCTTCTTGACTAAATGAAGTAAAATAATACCTATATTGTGTTTCTTGGTTGTCTCATTGTTTGTGAGATTTACCTGTGTTGTCTATGTTGTTTGCCTATTCTCATCTGTTGTCTGGTAATCCAGCATACAGATATATCAAAATTTGTTCTTTTCTATTCATGAACATTCAGGTTGATTCAAGTTTTTATCCGTTCTATCCTGAGTATTCTTGTGTATTATTTCTTTTGTATATGAGAGTGAAGCTACGGCTGAGCATGGTGGCATATGCCTGTAAACTCAGCAGGCAGAAGGCTGAGGCAAGAGGATTGTGAGTTTGAGCACCTCTTGGGCTTCATACTAAGACCCTGTGTTTTTTTGGGGGGGACAGGGGGTGGGTTATGGGAATTGAACTCAGGACGTTGTGCTTGCCAAACAGGAGTTGTGCCACTAAGCTATATGCCTGGCCCTCGGATCCTGTTTTAAAAAATAAAAAAAAAGCAGAGGCTGGAGATTTAGCTTAGCGGCATAAGCGCCTGCCTTGCAAGCAGGCAGTCCTGAGTTCGATCCCCTGTACTGATAAAAAGTAAAAAGACAAAAAATTTAAAAAGCAGAGAACTGTGGAGTGACAGATAGCCCGTGCATTTGTTCAGCCTTAAGAGATACTGCTAAAAGTGGCATTGTACTGACACCAATAGCATGTGAGAAGTCAGTGTTCATATTATCTTTACCCCTGACACTGTTCATTCTTCTATGTTAGCTTTTCTGGTGCCTATTTAGTGGGAGAGGTGATTCAGTGTGCTTGGAATTTTGTGCTCCCTGGAGAGCAACCAGCATGCATATGTGGAGCTTCGCTGAACATGTTCATTGGTCATTTGGATGTCTTTTGTTTATTATCTTTTGCCCATTTGGTGACTGGGCTCTGTTTTCTTAAGGATTGAAAAGAGTTCTTTATATATTCTGAGTACATGTACTGTATGTATGGCGGATTATTTTTATACTATTTGCCTTTCCACTTTCTCATTAGTATATTTTATTTCATTTATTTCATTTTTTAATTTTATTTAAAGGAGAAATAAAACAAAACAGTATAATGGTACAAGTAATACAAAATTTCAAAAAAAATCACTAGTTAATAGATTACATATTGTTATCTTAGAAATACTTGTTCAAGTTACAGGATTAAAGCATACAAAGTGGACATTCAAACAGTGAGACTGCAAACAGTTGTGTGCAGAGATCTGACAAAAACTTAGTAATGTGGTCATCTATCTTAACACACTTGCAGTTGTATCCTTTAGAGCACTTTTTTTCCCTCTCGTTTTTACAACAACATTTACACATTTTGAGTTTCTTTACTCCCATAATTCTTATTACTTTTTTTGGAAGAGAATAAAACCAAATATGACAAAACAAATCAGTCAGTCAAAACAAAGGATGGACATAGTACATGATGTAAGAACAGAATACAAGGCAATCAACAGTGTTTACCATAATGCCTCTTGCTACCTTAAAAAGAATTGCCTATATCATTAGGTATAATAAAATTGAACAAAACAGTACAGAACAAGACCAATAAAACCTAAACATTGGAGACATTACAGGACTTCAAAAGAAGATAAGAGTCAAACCAGAATGGGTGGCATAGTGAATGTTATTGTCTTCAAAGTAGTTGCCTATACCCTCAAACTTGATTCTATCAAACGGAACAGAATAGAGTTTTATTTTTTTTCAGATAGGGTCTTCTTATGTAGTTTTCCTTGAATAGTAGCTGGCCTTGAATTAATGATGTAGCCCAGGCTGGCCTCACAGTAATCCTCCTGCCTTAGTCTCCCTGAGTGCTAGAGTTACAGGTGTGTGACACCATGGCCAGCTCTCATTATTTGTGGAGGTACTTTCTTTGAGTCATTCACTTGCATTGAAAGTTATCCTGTTCAGTATTAGTACCTTGATTAAAGGAGCAGTTGGCAGAGAACTTCAGGGCATTTGCTCTCGTTAGTAACCCGAAATACACACACCAGAATTCTTGAAAAATGTGTGGCACAGTTTTGCCTTGGTTCACAATATTTTTGTTTGCAAGTACTTTGGTTCAAAAACAGAAGCATTTGGCAAATGTTATTTATTTGCAAATTCTGTATTGGGTGACAAACACAACCGCATGTTTCCCAGACATCTTTTTCCAAAGTTATAGAACTATAAAAGTTCGTGAACTATAATACCACTGTATTTTACAACATGCATTGATCAAAAATAAAATAGTAGACATTTAAAGTGATGTAACATTTAATAACATTAACTTATTAATAAAACGTTCATAGTTGAATGACTTCATTGAGCAGGTTATAATATAGAACATATGGAGATTTATACTGAGAAAAATATGCACTGAGAAAAAAGAAAGTCTTCAGATCAAAGAAAAACCCTCATAGCAACCTGTACTTGGAGGTGTTTTCTAGATGTTGTGAAAACTCTGGTAAATATTCTACATAGAAACTTTTTTAGAGGAATGGATTTGTGAAAGAATAATCATCTACTTTAAAAGCAACTTGAGCAGTTTGTCATTAAGGTGCTTTTGGAAAAGCTCTGTGAGAAAAATACCCAGAGCCAGTGAGTTCTTGCATGTTAGCAGTAATCCCTAGAACTGGCGTCACCTTAGAGTGGGGGTTGAGGCTGCTTTTTGACAAGAGTTAGTACTAAGCCCTCCCCCACCAGTTTTTTTTCCCTGTCTTTGTGAGAGTACAGACTGTCCTTGAACCCATTTGTAGCCCAGGGTGGCCTTGAACTCATATCAATCCTCCTGCCTCAGCCTCGTGAGTACTGGGATTACAGGACTGTGCCACAATGCCTGGCTGTACCAAGCTTTCTTGCCTTGTCAATAAGAATGAATGAGCTCTTACAGAAAACTGGTTTTCCTAAACATATTAGAAGCTTGGTCTTTTAAAAAACACTTACTTCTTTGAAGCTATTTGTGAAAAGCAAAAATTGTAACAAGAAGTGTTTTACACATTGAAATCAAGCCTAGCAAGGTGGAGAGAAAAGCCTCACCCCAAAGCAGCTGCGCAATAACTTCTGTCCTGCAGCTCAGTCTATGCCTGTATTCAGTTTGTCTAAATCTGTTAACAATGGAAAAGAGTCAGGAAGAACATGCTGCATTCTGATGCTGAGCTCTCTTCTTTAGACGGAGGACAAAAACCGCCAGTTACAGGAGCGCCTGGAGCTGGCTGAGCAGAAGCTGCAGCAGACCTTGAGGAAAGCAGAGACACTTCCTGAGGTGGAGGCAGAGCTGGCCCAAAGAGGGGCAGCGCTGTCCAAGGTACCTTGGTGCCCTTCTGGATCCATGCTAGGACTCTATTCCAGGTCAGGGCCTGGAATCCATGGAACAGTTCAAAGTTGTTTTTAGCGCTGTTGTCTGAGATGGGATTGGCTTCTCAGTCTCGGGCAGCGCCCTCCGCTGCTGTCAGCCCGAGTCTCCCTCCTGCTCTGTCAGGTGTACGGTGTTCCCCTGCCATGTTGTGATGTCACTGCTCCTTAGGATTATTTTAGTCACCAGCTTGAAGCATAGGCTTAGCAGCTTCATGTAAAAAAAGGATAGCTCTCTTCAGAGATAGAAAAAGCCATTTTCTTATAGAAATAAAATAATTTTGTAATATATTTTAAAGTAATTTCCTTGTTTTCAAATTGCTTTAAAATGTTTTGACTGTTTTTTGCTTCATTTTGATTTTTTGGTTTTTGGATGCAAGGTCTTTCTTTGTTGCCGAAGCTGATCCCAAACTCCTGATTTTAGGTTCATACAATCGTCCTGCTTCAGCCTCCTAAATAGCTGAGACTATAGACATACATCACCATGTCTGACTTAAAAAATAAGGTTTTAAAGTAATAATTGTTCAAGAACTATTGGCTAAGCCTGTGTAGGAACAACCCCTGCCCTTCTGGTTTCTGCTGTCCACAGGGAAGCAGGCATGTGAGGCAGCTCCAAAGTATTACAGCAGGTAGTTGGATGGGTCAGTCCACACAGGGGCCCTAGAGCACCTAACTGGTAAGCCTCGGCTTCCCGGGACCATAGGGAAAACTGAAACCTTAGTACCACAGTGGTAGGACTCCTGGCCATGCCCAGTGTGTCAGTAGAGGCTGCCTTGGGCCCTGGAAGGTATGCCATCTTCCTAGCCTTGGGCTTAGTCAGCTACTAAAGGGGGGCCAGACAAGGCGATGGACAGAGTCCACATCCTGCTGGCAAGGGTAACCTTGGGGAGGGCGGGCGATGTCCCCTTGAGCAGATGTGTTGCTACCAGCTCTAGCAGATCCTTGCCTCCCCTGTGTGATCTACGTGAAAGTATAGGTTTCTGTCCTCCCTGCTGTCTTCCTGTCCTCACTGGTTTTGTAGTCTGACCCTTTGCCTTCTGGGAGCTCTGCTGGGAAGGACTGTTTGAACTTACTTCCAAGCTTAGGAAGGTAGAGTGGACATTTCTCCTTTCTCGTGTCTGCTGCTTTCTGCTTTCCATGCTGACGAACCCGAGGCAGCCTGAGGATGGGAACTCACAGATCTGTGGAGCTCAGGCATGCGGTGGGGGAAGCACACAGTCATCAGCGCCTGCTGTGCTCCAGCATCTCCACACCAGAGGGTTGGCTGTCTCACAGTTCTGGGTGTGCAGCCACAGCGGGTGTGCTGGCCAGTGTGAGCAGGGCTTCCCCTTTGATGTGTGCAGCCAGTTCACGCAGAGCAGGTCATGCTTCCGCTGCTGCAGTAGTACCCAGCACGCCTCTGAGAGTGTGCCTATGAGATCAGCTCACGCTGTCTTTATTGGCAGGCTGAAGAGAGACATGGCAACATTGAAGAGAGGCTACGGCAGATGGAGGCGCAGCTGGAGGAGAAGAACCAAGAGCTGCAGCGGGTGAGTGCAGAGGTAGAGGGGGTCAAATGGATTTGAGCCAGAAGTTCCAAGGCCAAGCGAGGGCTGAGGGGATAGATTTTCGTTTCTAATGCTCCCTTCCCTTGTCTGCCACAGGTCCTCCATCCCAGTTTTTATTCTGCATACTTTGTGGCTTTGTCCATGAGCTGTCCACTGATGAACGGAAGTTTTATGTCCATAGGAGAAACACATGCCCATGGGCAGCACTGCAAGGCTCCATGAGATCCTAGGTCCCAGAAAGGCTTCCTGCTTAGCCAGTCTGTTGAAGGAACTGCTCCAGGGACAAGGGGGACCTTACAGGTTCCCCTAAATCTGTGGTACTGTTTAAGCGCCCATCTGAAACAGACCAAGGCTTCTTGATGTAGATGAGTAGTCTACTGGCCCAGGATGTGGCCCTGAAGTCCCAAATTGATGATCAGACCTTGATCCCAAAGTACTGAACTATTAACTTCAAACGTAAGTGTAGATGCAGGGAGAGAGACACCTGAGCAGGGGAGCATCGCAGTTGAGCTTCCATGAAAAGAGCATCAGGAAAACATTGTGGTGGAGGGTTCTGTCAGCTGAAATCCTAAGAGAATTTTCCCTGACAGAGGTGGGTGCGTGCCGCTGTGCAACAAATGCAGAAGAGGCAGTCCCAAGCCCAACTGACACATGGCCTAGTATTTGGAGGTGGATTTCTGTTTAACAAATGGTGGAGGAAGGAAGCATAAACACGTAATTCTAGAACCCTGAATCCCACATCGCCCATCTTTTTTAATGTTAAGACTGTTAGGTTTCCTTTTTATCCGAAGTCTGTATTCTTGGCCATATCCTACAGAGTCAGATAAGCTTCCAGGAAATGGTGATTTGAGGCATATTAAGAGATTGCACATCAGGCAATCCCCACCTCCCAGCACACAGCCACATCCTTAAGCACACTCTTACCTGTAAGCAGAGATGATGTGTTACACTGATAGAAGACTTCTTTACTTTAAGATCTGATTTATGGAGGTATGAAAGATAACTTGATGTGATAACTGGTGTTTATAACTATGGCATTTACAAGTAAATGTTAAACTGTTTTACTTTAAAAATACTCAAGTGCTGATAGAAAATAATGACAGGTATCAGGTTTTCTTTTTTTTAGGTATCAGGTTTTCTGTATCCTGTATGAGGTGGGGACCTCTTTTAGATAATGAGTTACTGTGTTGTACACATCCCAGAGACATTATAGATTTAACCTTTACAGCGAGTGTCTGAGTATCGGGAGAGGCATCTACTCACACTTTCCCGGTGCTTAGGAAGCTGCTTCCCTAGCCATTGCCAGGCCTGGTGGTAGGCAGGTCCTTGTAGTCAGTCCTCCTGGTTGGGCAGGGCAGTGAGACAGAAGTGCACATCGTAGCTCACACCCAAGGCCCTCCTCCTGGGACAAGGCCCCGGGCACTACAGCAGGGCTCAGGCAAGAGGGACTGTGTGTGTGCCGCCTGGTAGCACTTCTTCCCTTTACCTGTGGCTTGTGTTCATTCACGATAAAAAGGGAAAACCAGTCTTCTGAGTCTTAAATGACTATGTGCCACTGGTGAGGGAGCACCTCTGTAATCCCAGCACTCTGAGGACCAGTGCAGGAGAGCAGTTTCCACACAGGCTCCGTAACTGAGTGACCGCCTGTTTCAAAATCAAAGAAGGCTGAGAATGTAGCTCAGTGGCCTGGGTTCAGTTCCTAGTACTTCAGTAACAAAATAAAATGAAAACAAAGCAAAACCCGAGACTTTTCCACTTTGTTGCCACGTTTTAAAATAACCTACAGTAATTGTTTGTGGTTTTGAGATATAAACTTACATTAGGAGAAATTTAAGCAATGCAGGAACATTTTTTAAAAACAAAATATCCCTCCCTATCTCTATACTTTTTTGAACATAATTTATTTTTACTTTTTTTTAAACTTTTAAATTAAATTTATTTTCTCCCTTGAATCCAGGCCAGTCCTTGATTTACATAAGGGAAAATCCTCTGCAAGTATGTAGAAAAGCTGGTCCCCTAAATACCTGCTGTCTCTTGCATATTACGCCTGCTCTGAGTCCACTGTACAGTTGATGGCTGGGGACGTTCTTGAGGCCCCCGTGAGTCATGTATTGAACGGAAGCAATCAGACCTTCTAGTTAACAATCTCCAAGACTTGTCGCTGAGCTTCCCTTGCCTGAATTGGTTCTGAACATTGTGTTGCAGAGTCCCAACTGGAGATGACACAGCCAGGGGAGAGATCGCCCATGTGTGGTTCTCTTTTAGTCCTTTGTGGTTGTTTCTGCAGTAATAGAGAGTAACCTCAAGGCCTTTGTGCTAAGCTATGTCCCTGGCTGTTTTTAAGTTAACATCTGTTTTATGATGAAGTTTTGCCAAGCGGGTAAGTTGACTCGGCTGGGCTTCACCTTGAGATCCTGCGGCCTCAGCTTCAGGGCACTGGGATTACAGGCACACACCACCAGGCCCCAGTGGTCCCTGATACTTTAATGGTAATGTTTCTGCTTGAAGTCCAGAGTCTTTGTTTCTCCTGTTTTAGGCAAGGCAGAGAGAAAAGATGAATGAAGAACATAATAAACGTTTATCAGACACTGTTGACAAGCTGCTTTCAGAGTACAAGGAGACACTTGAGCTGCATCTGAAGGAGAAAATGGCTGCTCTGGAAGATAAGGTAGGTGGGCTGAGCACCAGACTCTCTGCAGGGCCTTTGCAGAGGAGCACTCAGCATCTCTCTTGAAGGATGATGGTGGTGGATGACCATTCCAGGAAGTAGGACTTCCCGTGGAGGAGAAGGTGCAAGCTACTATCAGTCGCTAAATTCACTTAATCCTTTGCTGTGTTCTTGCCCCATTTGAGCATATGGGACATTGTCATTATTCTCTAGGACAGGAGTAGGTAAATAATTGCTTGTAAGTATTTCACGCTTGTAATAGGTATGAGGAATTAAGTAAAATATTTGTTACTAACCAGCAACAAATTAGCACAGAAGTGGTCATAAGTAGCACATGCATGTGTGGATGTAGCTTTGTTCTGATAAAATTTTATGTTAGCCAAGATATGGTGGCATGTCAGCCTTGGCTGGAGGATCTTGCAGCCAGCCTCATGAGACAGGAGAGGTCTTCTTTTCAAAAGTTGTTCTTTTCTTCACACAGAGTCATACAGTGGCCTGGGTTTAGCTAATTGACCCTAGTTTACCAGTCTCCGCACTAGAATCTTTATTTGGCCCCATATGTGTCCTTTAAAGCTTTGTCAATAGAAAAATTTTATTTCTTTTTAGATTTGAGATGAGGTTTCACTTACTTGCTCAGGCTGGGATCAGACTTGTAATCCTCTTGTCTTGCCTTCCAAAGGTGCTAGGATTGTATGTCTGGCTTGGAAGTTAATTTCTGCCTTATTTGTAAACATGGTAGCACTTCGGGATGTGGTATAATAGCATTTAATCAACTAAACCACATAAGTCCATCCCCTGCTTCTTTCTCTTTTAGTTTGGAAGAAATCTGTGAGCTTGGGCTCTGAGTGCTCAAGTTGTAGAAGTGTGCTAGGTGCTCCCACAGTGAAGGGTGTCCAGAGCTGACAGACAGTTGGGCTCAGATTTGATGGGTCCTGTTCTAATTGTACAGTGTCCCTGCCAATGAGGCTCAGAATGTCCCAAGATTGTCACTAGCGTGTGTTGAGCTTACCCAAGAGAGACTGACGCTTTTCACTCATTAAGAGATACATTTAATTTTGTACAAAGCTGATTATAAGATGCATGCTTACAGAGCTCAAATAAAATAGTAACTGTCACCTCCAGATGAGTCTTTAAAGTAGGAATTTTTTTTAATTGACCAAAGAATTGCAAAATCTGAACATTCGTATAAACTTGTCTACCTGCTTAAAATAAACTTAGACCATGAAATTTGCATTCTTAAGTCTAGAACTTTGAAAAGTGAAAGAAACAGTTTTACATGGGAAGAGCGAGTATGTATTGTCCTTGTCCTGTGGCCAGTGATGGACTGGGACTGGCACTGCTCCATAGTACACCCATCTGAACCTTCCCATAGCCACATTATTACATGGAGCATTTTCAAGAATGGGCACTGAACACCTCTCTTTATCTTTTTCAGAATTCTCTATTACGAGAAGTTGAAAATGCAAAAAAACAATTAGAAGAAATGCAACATGATAAGGTACTTCAATCTTTGATTTATTTAGAAGTTTGTTAAGAGCTAACTTGTACTGAATTATTTTGTAGTTACCAGAGATGTTTGGCACAGTTGAGATAAACTTTCTTTATGGCTTTCCTAGTCTACCTACTTAAATAAGACATGTAACATTCCTAAATTTGTATTTGAGGTGGATTGCTTACAGTTCAGAATCCTGAGTCTTTTCTAACTTTCAAAGTAAAATAGCATCAACCTTTCTAGCATCAACCTTTCATCAAAAGTATTGCTGTTAGGGCTGAGAGTGCGCTCAGTGGTCAGGTAAGTCTTAGTAGGCAAAGAGGCCATGTGCTGCATCCCCAGCACCTACATAAGTAAGTAAACAGACAGACAAACAGACATGGTGACTAATGCCTGTGATTCCAACACTCTAGGAAGCTGAGACAAGACCTAGCTCAATGACTGGACTTAATGAGATCTTATTTAAAAAAAAAAAAGAAATGAAAAACAACACACATATACACACATGCACACACAGCTGGGGATATAGTTCAGTTCAGTAGTAAAATAAAAAATCAACCAGGTGTTCTGGTGCACACCTGTAATCCTGTAAGTTTTCATGGGTTGTGCGTACCCTGTATAGTTTTTCTGTGATGAGATTATAGTTGTCTACTCATTGGGGTTAATGTTAATTTTCTATAGGACTCAGGAAGAAAATTGATAACTGCCAATTCAACCTGATGTTTACACTCAACATCTGAGCACATGTGATGCACATGGTTTTACAATCTAAATGAAATCATTTCAATGTGACTCGCTTTCTGTTTTATAGGAGCAGCTTGTCCTGAATATTGAAGCCCTCAGAGCAGAGCTGGACCAGATGAGACTGAGAGGGCCTTCACTCCACCTTGGGTATGGTATCACATGTAGTATCAGCAATGTTTTTTTCAGCAGGGGCCTGTTCTTGGCTAGGTGAGCAGCACTATTGGGTAGAGGCATGATTTGACCTCAGGGATCCTGTAGCAAGGTTGCAGGCCAGGGAAAACAGTAAAATAGTCTTCCAGAGGTGATAGCCTATGCCTAGGAGACGTACCATGGGCAAAACTCAAAAATACAGGGCCCTAGCTGAGAAATTATCAGCTAGTATTTGGACATGGGCGCCCTAATTCAGTATGATTTTAAGGTGCAAGGACGGGAAACCAAAGCCAAGGAGAACAGTTAAAGGACTGTCTTCCTGGGAGCAGAAGAGACACGATAACCTTACCCTGTCTGGAGGCAGCTGCACCAGTTAGAACGCCAGAGGAGCTGGACATTTTATGTGTGTAGGACAGCATGTGGAGTTTATGCTTTTTAGGAGGCACTGACAATTCAAGATATGTTCTCATTTTAGAATCTTGAGATAAGACTTCAGGTTGACTGACACAGGAGTGAACCACTTGGCTTGTGAGTGAATCCAGTGAACTGCTGAGCATAGAAACCCCACACACATCCCTCTTTTTTTACCTTGTCTTTATGATAGAGACAGTCATTTTCATTAAGGTACTACAATTTTTTTGGTACTCTTTGAAGAAAAGTGGTCCACAAGTGAGAGTTATACTTCAGCAAATTCACCGAAGTCCTTAGCTGTGAGATCCATTTACACGACATCTCCTAGTTGAAACATGGCATGAGAAAAAGTGTGGAGCCTGGCCAGACTTCTGCATTGCGAGTTTAAGATACTAAAAAAGGGAAGGGCATCCCAGGTGCTGATCTAGCCACAAGTGTTTCTAGAGGATAAGAAGAAACACCAGGGCAGATGGTTCCCAGTCAGAGACAGGCTTCTACTGTCTGCAGAAGCAGAGCAGCGTGAACTTTCTAAATGGAGGTCTTATCTGCTTACAGGGAGAGGGGCATGTTAAGGGCCATTAGGACAGAAAAATGAGGGTTGATGAAGGAGAGCCTCACCAGTGGAAGCTAGTGTTGCTAAGACAGCAGTAAGACACACGCTGGGGACTCAGTAAGATGGATCTGTGAAAAGCATACATCAGGAAGCAGATGAAAGAAGGTCACACAGTCCTTAATGAAGGGAAGAAGGGAGAAGCTGAAGGAGCAAAAAAGTTTTAGGGACAAATTTTTTAAGATACACAGCTGATGACTTGCCCATGTTTATCAGCCTCAGGTGTTGAAGTGAAAGGAGGCAGGGACAGGATCCCTTGCTGTGGGGATTCCGAGGGAGCGGCAGGGATGGACCATGTCACACACTGTTGGGAAGCACGAGAACAGTGGCCGCAGAGGCACCAAAGAGGAGCTAGCCTGGTTCTAGGAGACAGGTCTGGAAGTTCCACATTAGGTGGCCTAGAGGAGCAAGAGCAAATCCCAGCAGGCGTGGCATAAGCTTTGGCCAGGAGGACTGCAGAGATTGTAGCAGGAAGGCTGACTTCATGTGACTTGCTGGTGAATGTGTTCTCTTGTATTCGTGGTCTCCTCCTAGAAAGACTGCTCCCAGGGGCCAGCGATACAGCTCTGCAGTGCAGTGCCTACCTGGCCAGTGCGAGGTCCTGAGTTCAATTCCTGGTTCCAAAAAAAATCAAGATTGCTGCAGCTGAGGAGTGGAAAGACAGATGAGGGACAGGCTTCTGTCAGTAGGCTGGGAAAGGACTGGTTGTGGGTGGTGGCACAGCTGCGAGAGGCCCCACTGAAAACACATCAAAACTAGGAGGAATCAGGGGCCTTCAGAGGATCCGTGAACTGTCTAGAATTATATACACAGTTTTATGCGCTTAGCTTCTGTCCAGTCCATGGTCTCCAAGCATGTAGTACAGTCATATTGGAAAAGATGAATAATTAATTTAATAAGTATGAGGGAGTGGAGGACGTCAGGTACAGTTATGCTGAAAGGAAACATCCAGGTTTTGGCACGTTATGAACAAGTGAGGAATGTCACTTTACATTCCATGGAAACACTTCTTTAAAATATGGCTCTGCAAATGTGAAGTAAATGAGTTGGAGTATGCCATGGGCCTTGTCTGTGGATGGGAGGGGAATCATGAGGGATCCCTGCTCAACTCCACGTGAGCAGATTGGTGGGATTCATCTCCCAGCATCTTTGCCTCTGAAGGATTTCTGAAATGAAGGAAACCACCTTCTTTGCTGGAATATCAGGCATTCTAGCAGAAGCAGACAGCAGGAAGATGGATACATGAGGGGGTGCTGGAGCTGAGTTTCCACTGTTTCTCTGGAGCCTTAGCCCCTTGGAACAACAGCAGTGTTCCCCACACCCCTGGGAAGGGCCTGCACACAAACCTGGGCTTTGCGCTCCAAAACCAGAAGGCAGCCCTCAGCTCTGGTTCCCAGGTGCCCCAGTTGTGCTAAAGGGATTTATGCAGTCTGCACCTCAGGGCTGCTTTATGACTCCCAGCTCTCACTCATGGCTCTTGACAGGAGAGGGAAAACCCTGGAAGGCTGGAAGTGGCATCTGGGTGTGCCCCTTGGGGAGGCTGAGAAAGAGTTGAAATGAAGGGGCTGCATCTTTGACCTAGAGGACGATTCTCTGGTGGGTTTCGGGTGTCTGGCTTACCTCCATGTCTGTGGCAGTCTGCATGGGTTTTAAATGTTGGTGTTGAGCAGGCTGAATGTAGCTCTCTGCACATAACAAAAGTGCCCTCCTTGGAGACCACTTCCTGTGTGAAATTACGTGGTTTCAAGTCCACAGGTCTGGCTTGAAAGAGTCACAAAATTTGTTTACCTTTCTTCTAACAATGACCTTTGTTTCACATTTCAGCCGCCCCCACTTGGGCAGCGTCCCAGATTTCAGGCTCCCCATGGCAGATGGGCACACGGATGCCTACAGCACCAGCGCAGTGTTGCGACGCCCCCAGAAAGGCCGACTGGCAGCGCTGCGAGACGAGCCTTCCAAGGCAAGGCTTGAGTGAAGTACAGTACATCTGCTTGCGTAAAAGTTACCTGCTTGTGTCGTGTTGAACTAAGTTCTGAATACGTGGCTGGCTGCTTCTCCCCGGTTCCCTTTATCTGACGAATCGTGTAAGAGTGTACTTTCGGGGCTTTTTTTTGTTTTGTGAGAGAGAGAGAAATTCTGATAAAGTGCAAACCACTCAGATGATGCAATGCTAATTGCTACCAACTTGAAGTTGATGGATAGTAATGTATCTATGATTTAGTGAAAATAATTCATATTTCTAGTATATAACGTATCAGAGTCAGTTATCCTATAAACACAAATGCTTTTGTTGCTTCACCATTTTAGCTGTAGGGATTTTAGTTAAAAATCAGTTGGCCCTGTTGCTTTGGATGAGGCAGCCTATCATGTTGGAGCATGCGACAGCACAGGTGCTCATTTCATGGCCAAGAAGCAAAAGAGAGGAAGGAAGGGGCCAGCATCTCACAAAAGCAAGCCCTCCGTGATCCAGAATCTTCCCACTCGGATCTTCCTACAGGCCATACCACAGCACCGAGGGCTGGGAACCAAGCCTTTTTTTTTTTTTTTTTTTAATTTAAAGAGAAAAAAATAAAAGGAAATAAAAGTTTAAAAAAGCAGTATAAGGGTACAAATAATACAGAACTTCAAGGAAAAAAATACAGTAAGATATCACTAGTTAATAGGTTACATATTGTCATCTTTGAAATAGTTGTCCACATTATAAAATTAAAGCATGTAAAGTGAACATTCATACAATGAGATTGCAGACAGTGCTGATCAATGATCCAACAAAAGTTCAGTAATATGGATTTCCACCCTACACACTCAAACATACATGCAGTTATATCCCTTAGAACACCTTCCTGTTCTCTCTTTTTAATAACAATTACACTTTTTGGGTTTTTTACTCCCACAATTCTTATTATTTTTTGGAGAGAATAAAACCTAAAGTGGCTAAACATAACAGAGTCAGTTAGAACAAAAGGATGGGCATAGTGCATGATATAAAAATAGAATATGAGGTGATCTAAAATGGTTATCATTGTGCCTCTTGCTAGTTTTTTAAAAAGTTGCCTATATGGTCAGGTATAATAGAAGTGATCAAAACAGTACAGAACAAGACCAATAAAACCTACACTGGAGACCTTACAGTATCTGAAAAGAAGATAATAATCAAACCATAATGGGCATCTCAGTGAATCTTATTGCCTTCCAAGTGGTTGCCTATACCCTCAAACTGGATACTGTCAAACAAAATAGAATATAGTAAAATCTGACAGAACAAGATGGGGAGAGCAATACTGGGGATCATATCAGGTTAATAGGTAAACAAAGAGTTACTATAATATATCCCGCTATTTTTTAATTTAGTTTTCCCTTAATTGAAAAAAATGTAAGAAAAACATAGATTAATTTTTAAAAAGGGTGAGATTGAGGTAAAAGAGGACATTGTATTAGAACAACACAGATCGAAACTGAACAAGTTAAGCATCATTGTGTTTCATGCCAGATAATCTAACATAATACTGGAGAAGTTGTTAAGTCATATTCTAGTTGAAGATTTTATTTGATAGTCCAAAAAATGATTAACTAAAAATAGGTTTGTTCAGCTTTTTGTGTTTTTCTGAGACAGGATCTCGCCATGCAGTGCAGGCTGGCTTTGAACTCATGTAGTGCAGGTTGGCCATGGACTTGTGGCAATTCTCCAGCCTTAGCTTCCCAAATGCTGGGACTACAAGTGTGCTCAACCATGCCTGGCTGTTCAGTTTTATAATAAATATTGCTGTAACATCTTGTCATCGCTGGAATATTAGAGAGTAGGTGATTATCAGGGCCCTTTGTTCTATACAGTGCCATGCTTTAAATCACATGTGTTCTAACAGAATTTGCTTTTTGCGTAGTAATTTATAGTGTTTTCTAGTAAATCTTGAATAACTTAGATTTGAATTTGTGGTAATAAAAATTACTGGATTTCCAGTTATATTTCCTCTAAATCCTGTCTCTCTGATTTCTGTCTTGTCCTTCATATTGTAATATATTTGCTTGTGTAGATCCTTGAATTTTTAACATTAAAGCATGCCATAAATCTGGTCTGTATTTCTTTGCATGCCTCTTGTCAGCCTAGCGACTTAAGGACATATCCTAGAAAGCTAAATAGTGCAGTACCTGAGCATACCTTTGTATCTCCCAAATGCATGCAAGAGTATTGTATGTCACACGTAAGTATAATGTTGTCATTAATTTGCAATGAATAGCTGATGTTTGATTGGAAATGTTTAAACTGACCTGCCACATGACAAGTTACTGCTCCCTGGCCAATCAGCTATGCATGGAACATGGTGACAAATTTCCTACTTGCACTGCTTTTGCCTCTAAACATTGCATGCCTGTGTCTAATGGACATAGAAGTTAGGATTTGGAAGGAGGGAGTGATTGAAGCAGAGCCATAGGCTTTAGATTGAGGGAAACCAGTTTTTCTGATATGGATGGCTAGACCTTAGTAAGCACTGCTCTCTGCCAGGTGCCAAACTCAGTGCTTGGCCATTTTGTTGCCATTTTTAGTCCACAAGCACATCCCTGTGAGAAACCAGTTGCTGTGCTTACCCCATTTACAGATGGGCAAACTGAAGCTTAGATCACATGATGTGCAAAGCAGGTATGAGTTAAGCCTGGCTGGATTTCAAAACCTGGACCACATCTCCCTCGGGCCTGGATTGGTCAAGCTGCTCTGATCTGCTGGCAGTCTCCCTCTCAGAGGAAACCTTGCAAGTAAAAGCAGTGCCCTGGGAGCAGTGGGGATTGGGGGGCTTTCTTTCTGTTGACCTAGAAGCTCCCCCTAATGCCTGCTGCCTCTGGCCCTGTGCCGTGCCTGCTTCATGCTTCCTGCCTTCCTGGTGGTGCACTTGTGGGGCAGTGCTGCCGCAGGTGCCAAGTGGTGATTGTCCTCAGCAGCTGTGTGTGAGCTTCTCTATGGGGCTGGGCAGAAGGGTAATTTAGTAGGACACGGGTACAGATCCTCACTCTGTTGCTGATTGTTTCCTGGCCTGGGAGCTATTCCTTGGCCCAGTGGGACCGTGGCTTGCTCTCATGTAAGTGAGGAAGTGATCCACACAGTAGTGCTGCTCAGAATGGCCGCGATCTGTGCCTGCCCAAAGTGAGATGAGGCACCATCACCAGCAGCCAGCCGCAGAGTTTACCTCCGTTCAGTGGACTTAAGTGTGGTTCTGTAGCCTGGTCTTGTTCACTGGTCATCTCTCCTCAGCATGCAGCCTGGTGACTTAGAGGAGACTTGTCCTGGGCTGGCCGTGAAGATTAGCCTAGGGCTGAGTCTAAGGACACCAAACACGGGCCAGACAAAGACCGGTATGGGATGGTTACCTCTTCACTTCAGTTTAACTGGGCAGACCGAGGGGACTTCTTGTCACTTGTAGACAGGTCTGAGACAAGGCAGTGTGTCCTAGCCTTGAGCTTTCCTCCCAGAAAAGAATACAAACAGAATGAAGGCCTTGTTCAGTGAGCCTGGAAGTCTCTGGGCAGAGCGAGGGCCAGTGTAGGGAGTCTTGGTGCAAGAATCTCTTTTTGTGCGTGGAGCATACATATAGTACCCTACCTCTTCTTTTTTCTTTTCTATTTTAACAAATGATTGTTTTAACCTGAAATTTTAAATGATGCCTGGCAAACAACAAGGTCCTAAGTTTGATTTCTGGTTCCCTCCCAAAAATTTTTTGAACTTTTATGATTCATGTTGGTAATTTCAAGCATGATGACCTTTTTTAGAGATGAGATTGCTGGAGGTTAAACACAGGGCCTTGAACATGCTAAGTAAGCATGCTCTGGTTACCCCAGCCCACGGCAGTCTTTTGTTTTGTTACTACAATTAGAAATGAGAGCCAGACAAGGTGGTATATGCCTGTAATCCCAGCACTCAGGAGGCTGATACAGGAGGACTGCTGGAGTTTGAAGCCAGCCTGGGCTACAGTGTGAGTTCATGGCCAGCCGAAACTGTATAGTGAAAACTTCTCTCAAAAAAGAAAGAGAATGATACAGAATTCATCTATTTATCAGTTAAGATCATATCCTAAATGCTCTCAGCTGTGAATTACACTAATCTAGTTGATCCTCAGTGAGCTGCTGCAGGACTATAATGGAATCTGAATCTTTGATACAATTGCACTGACAAAGAAGTTAACTATTGAAGTCTTGTTGTTCATACAGTTTTCCGTGAATGTTTTATGAAATATACTCCTGCTTCAAAACCGGAAAATAACAACCTTCTAAACAGAGCCTACCTAGACCCTGAAAGGGTTCTCACGTGCACAGTTTCCACAGTTCTGCCTTCCTCAACACAAAGGCACACTCCTGAGCCATCCCCAAAAGGAAAACCCAGGGTCTGCGCGACCCTCTTTTAATAATATACCCCGGATTATTCTAATAAGCCACATGGAAGTAACGTTTTAGGCTGCATGCAAATGCTTCTGCTCATAACATGTGGTCCAGATAGTGAGAAACAGAAGCCACACACATGCATATTTGGGTCTTGGCTCATGCTGTCTTTGTCTTGTTTCCCGCTAGAGGTAAAGGTATTGACAGTTTCCCTGAGGCTTCGGCCCCCGCTTGTGTTCCTTTTGAGTGACGTCAGTAACTGAAGCTTCGTGTCACAGGCTCTTCACTAATGAGAGTAACATTGTTATCTTGAAGGGATAAACTGTAGTGAACTGGCTTTGTTCAGGACTTCACTGTCCCTATAACTATTCTCAAATGTACCTGAGGTATTAGGGCGAACAGAATCCTGAACTGAAGGTGGATCATGCTGTCCCTGGGCTACCTGGGTCTTCCATAAAGGACAATTACAGGTCAGCCTGCCCTGCTGTCTCTCTGCTGTGTGGTCCCATTTTCCCAGACAAAACAGGCCTTCGGGTTTGCATTCGATTAAAATGAGACCTTTCAGTACAGATAGAAAGCTTGGCTAACAGGTTTTTAAGTCAGTTTATGTCATTTAACGCCTATGTGATGTGTTTTCTAAACAATCCACTGTTAACTGGTTTTGGTTTTTCATTCCTCAGTTGCCAGCTTGCAGAGAAGTACGAAATGACAAGACAACGATAAAATGTGAAACTTCTCCCTGCTCTCCGAAGTCCCTTCGGCTAGGCAGGCTGCACATGGGGGCTTTGCACACAGTCAGCCACGAGGACGTCAGGGACATGCGAAAGTAAGCACCAGGTCTCGTAGGCCACCAGACCCCTGTGAAACCTGCTTGTATTAGAGTTTAAAAACATCTATTAATCTTTTCCTGGGGAAAAAACGAAGTTTTTAAAGAATGCTCAGCAAGGTCATTCGGTTGTGATTAATTAAACATTAAACATAGAATGTAGTGACATCCAGAGGGAAAGGCCATCTGTTTGGGCAAAGTTTAGAAAGAAAAGAAATTATTTGAAATTAGCACTTGAGAGAAAGCTCCATTTCTTCAGATCCCGCACATTCACTTCTTTTAAGAACTTTTTTTCTATTCCTGGTGAAGAATTTGCCGCACGGATGTGGAAGGTTCGGGATCGTGCTGTTCTGTGGACAGTATGTGCCTGTCAGGTACCCTCCCACCCTCTGGGTCTTCTAAGCTCTTAAGAGTCCCACATTATCCCTATCCCTTTAGTAAGCATGTTCCATCGGGAGGCCATGAAGGCTTGGTTACTTATAGACCGTTGTTTTTCACATTTCCTCTTAGAAGCTTCTGTTCCATACCAGGCAGTATGATCAAGCAGGCACATTGGTCTCCGCAGTGTCCCTAGAGATAGTACGCCTCTCGCTTTGCATGTGAGGAGAGCAGGACCCAGGGGCCAGCCTGCAGGAGCTGCTGAGAGGGAAGGTGGAACTCCAGTTGCTCCGGCTTCTGGGACCTTGTTCTCTTTCCTGTTGACAGAGCACAACCCTCACTGGCTGAGCAAGGCCCCTGCAGAGGGTGTTCCTTAGGTGTGCACACCAGGCAGGCTAGAGTACAGGCCTCCTCTGAGCAGGGAGCAACAGCAGAGTCTTGGCTTATGGACAGAGGTCTGTGGAAGCATTACTGGGACCCTGCGTTGCTAGGCACAGTGTACTGCGGGTAAGAGACTCGAAATGTTCTTTAGGAAGTTGATTGAAGGAATATTAAAAATGCAGACTGTTCTGGTACATGTGAGTGGACTGTGGAGCTATGAAGAGGGCATGTGGTAAAAGTCCATTTTCTTTCCTTCAAGCTCAACAGGTGCCCAGGATGGTCCTGTGAGCAATCCCAGTAGCAGTGACCGCAGGCAGGACTCGCTCCACAGAGCCCCAAAGAAGAAGGGCATCAAGTCCTCCATTGGTCATTCGTTTGGCAAAAAGGAAAAGGGTCGGCCTGGACAAACTGGCAAAGAATCAGCAGGACAAGGTGGGTGGGTTTGCGGCAGCTGTCCTAACTGCTGGGAATGGGAGAGCTTGAGCTTTTTCCCCTGTGCCTGCCGCGCGTGCCCCGTGCCCACGAGGACTCATGGCTGAGCGTTCTCCAGACAGCCCAGTCTCCTTCCTCAGTCTGTCCACCTGGGAACCAAAGCGGAGCGGTGGACATTCATTTGGCGTGAATGATTAACCCTCATAAGTGCTAGTTTACACTCTTGAACATTTGTATGTGTTTGCTCAGAAGCTTACCCTTCAGAAACTATTTAGCTCTATCTGCAGAATCTTCTACCTATGTGTGAAAACATATAACTTTGCCATGTTAATTTCCTCTAAATTGGGGGGCTTTTCTGCTTTTTTGTAGCTGGTGTTTCTGAGACAGAAAACTCATCTCAGGATGCCTGCAGACTTAGCAAATTGGGAGGAAAGGCTGAAAAAAATCGTAAACTACAAAAAAAGTAAGCTTTTTGTTATTTTTCCATCTCATGAGACAGTTTTCTGAGTTATCAGTAATTCTTAGCTGTTTAAGTGTAATATCTAGCTACGTAAATACGTAGCTAGATATTACACTTAAGACGAACCTAAAGCAGTGATAGCCAACGTTTTAGAGCTTCAGTGATACAAACATCTTGCCGCAGCGTGCATGCCGTAGGTTTGCCTCCATTACCCTGAAGCCTGTTGTAAGCCATCTTGTCTGGAGAACAAGGACATTTGGAAATTTTGACTGAATCACACGTGTATTCCCAGTCTTCCTTTGCAAAGTTGTCTCCCTAGACGATAGAATGGGTAAGAGTTAGGCTTGGCCATTTGAGCTCTGGCCGTGAATCCTGGTTCCTTCTCAAGTTAGCTCTGTGTCTCTGACAAAGTTCCTTAGCTTGTGCTTCAGTTTTCTCAGCTGTCAAATGACAGTTACACTTGTTCATGCATCATCTGGCTTTTTTCAGTTCAATAGAATCATATATGTGCATGTATATGTTTTAAAACATGGACACAAGACCTAAATAAGCTATAATTATGGTCACTAGGGTGACTTGTAATGTTTACACAAATGGTCCTCTAGAACCATTCACCGTGATGTAATTTTGGATTTTATCTCAGATAGAATCTCTATTTTACAGTCTATTATTGAACTGTAATTCTAAACTAAATCTTAAGGGGTTGGGGAGTGGAGTACAAGTGGGAGCATACTGGCTTGGCCTGCCATCCCTAGAGCCACATAAACGTAGAAGCAAAGTCTTGATTCTGAAAATAATAAGTACTGTTCAGAATGATTTTGGTTTTTTTTGTTGTTGTTGTTTTGTTTTGTTTTTTGTCTTTTTCATTTTTACCAGTATCAGGGATCGAGCTCACCACTGTGTGCTTACAAGGCAGGTGCTTATGCCGCTGAGCTAAATCCCCAGCCCCTTTGGAATGATTTTGGATAGAGAAGCACAGGCACCGGCATACGGGCAAAGAGTGTACAAGTCTCTGTGTATAAGCTGATCACACCCAAAACCACAGCTAGCTAAATGAACTAGATAGGTCGGGGCATTTTCTAGTGACATGATTAATGTAAAAAATCAATAAAAGCTTTCTGCAACAAAATCAGATAGTGTGTAATGTCTAAGAGGTACAATTTGAACTTGACAGTAGTGAAAGATTAAAAGCCTAAGGTAAGATGCTCACACTGGTGCTGAGGAAAGGTCAAAGCTGGTGGGCTCTTGGACAAATTTGTCTGTGGGAAACATCAGGTGTCCACTTCTCAGTGAAGCCAGCACTGTCTGGAGCTCAGTGTGCAAAGGCCCTGACCCCAGCATTGTACTCGAGTCCCTGGGAAACCTCTTTGCTGGAAAGTTATGAAATCTGGCTCATTTTAGTTCTCAGAGTTCATGACTGCCTTTTTAAAAAACTTTTACTGGTATGTGTTTGCAGTACATAATAATCATGTTAGTTCTAGGGAGTTGATACATGTACGTAACACATTTCTATGGTGTTAACCAAGGTGAGGTGCCCAGTCTCGTAGTCCACTAACTACCTGGTAGGGGAGGTGTGGCTACCTGTAAGTGGAAGTTGGGCCAACTCCGCAGCCAGGGTCTTCTGTGCTTATCTCCTAACATCCCATGACTTTTGAATGCATCATCCTACTTCTGCTACCTTCACAGCCCTCCCCCGCTGCATCTGGACGCAGGTGTAAAGAGGAGGGAGGTGTAAGTAAAGGCCAGAGCGGTTTACACTAAGCTTCAGGTAGAGGGCCTTGTTCTTGTTCACAGTGCATGTCTGGTGTGTACTTTAACAAATTACATTGTGCAGTGGCGTGCACCTTTAATCATCCGAGCCACCTGGGAGTTCGAGGCAGGAGGGTCGTTCATGGTGACACTACCGTTATTCTAGGCCACTTAAGAAACTGTCTCAAAATGAAAAGTAAAGTAGAAAAGGCTGGTGGTTTATTTCAATCAGTAATAGAGTGCTTGGATCCATCCCCAATACCATCAAAAATAATGAAAAATCCAACAAAGTCATTCTTACACTACTGAGGCCATAGTACTTACTTAGTCTATTTGAATGTGCACATAATCTACAAGTGCTTCTGACCTACAGCAGTAGTCTTCCTCTTCCCTGGCCTGGCCACAGCATCCAGAACAGACCCTTATTACAGAAGTTCAGATCTTTGCCTTGAAATGGATTTACCCTGCTTCCTGTGGTTGGTCTCTCTCTCTCTCTCTCTCTCTCTCTCTCTAGTGTGTGTGTGTGTGTGTGTGTGTGTGTGTGTGTGTGTGTGTGTTACTTGTCTCCTTAAATGAAGTCATAGCAGCTCTGTAGACAGGTTTGGTCGCCTACTGCTCCTACGTAGGAGCACACTTCTGCTGATCTGTTCCTCTATGAATAGCGTTGCTTTTCTCAACTAGGAAATGTTTCTTCTTCTTCTTCTTTTTTTGTTCCATCTGAGATAATAGCATATTTGCCGCCTACTGTGGCACAGTTACTCCCTGGTGATTGTTCCTGTAAGCTTAGGGGTAACTTGAGAAACTCTTAGTTGAAATTGTATATGAAACATTTTACTGAAGGCCATGAGTTTCCAAAAAAAGAAAAACGGGAGAGAGACAGACTGACTGAAACTGACTAGGGTTTTGTGCACATGAAACATACTTGTCCTTTGTGTTCTAATCCCTAGAAGACTTACCATGCTTACACTGTTACTGTTTCGCATAACTGTGTTACACAAATCATTTTAGAGATGTTAGTATAGTAAAAGTGTGACTTGAGTCTTTAAAAATAAGGCATATATGATACTTCCAATCACATTTAGGAGTGCATGCAAGACTCACTTACCCAGTTCCCTGCAGTACTGCCTTGGTATTGCATGAGTTTCTGTGCTGGTGATACATTCGGCATTGAACGAGGTGCTGGGAACTCTGGCAGGATAAAGAAGAGATCTATGGGTTAAAACCACAGAATGACCCAGTGACTTAATTTATCAAGTACCTTTTTACTTAAGGAGTAGGGCGCAATAGAAACTGTCATCCGTTTCTTGTTTGCTATTTTAGACGATACCCTTTTTGGGGTTGAAAGTCTACATTACAGCTGGGAGTATGATACACATCTATAATCCCAGCACTGGGGAGACTGGCTACACAGAGTTTGAGGCCAATCTGGACTACATACATAGCAAGACTTTGTCTCAACATTCCTTAAGCCACCACCACCCCCCAAAACACTGTTTTTTAAAGACCCTCACAAAGATAGGCACTGATGACTCAACTGAGGTGTGGATTCCTCTTCCTAGATACTGTCTCTTCATTGTTGAAGTAGGGTTTCATGTTTTCTCCTAATTGTCTTACTACCTTGGATATGAAAATTCTGCTTGAGTTTTTTAAATTGATAGTAGTTCTTCAATCCTCTGAAGTAATGGTGATTTGACTGGGAATCAAGAGAACTCTGTAGCATTTTTTATTTACTCAGGCATTGTCCATAGTATGTGTGTGACTGACATTACGAGAGCGATGTTAGTAACATTAAAGCTGTAGAAGATAAAAGGAACTGAGAATACGTGTTATACTTCTGAAATGATCAAAGACTGTTCCATTAACTTACTGGACGTGTAACAGTGCTTCCTTAATTTGAATGTCTTCTTTTTCACAGGCATGAGTTGCTGGAGGAAGCCCAGAGGCAAGGCTTACCATTTGCACAGTGGGACGGGCCAACCCTGGCTGCATGGCTGGAGGTACATCCCTTCGCTACGGAGTCATATGCTCCACGACACAAGCTTGTCGGTGCATCTGTTGTCTCTACCTGATGTTCTGGTCTTTTCATTCTTGTTTCTAGCTCTGGGTTAGGATGCCCGCTTGGTATGTGGCTGCCTGCAGAGCAAATGTGAAAAGTGGGGCTATCATGTCAGCCCTGTCAGACACAGACCTCCAGCGAAAGATTGGCATCAGCAACCCCCTGCACAGACTGAAGCTGAGGCTGGCCATCCAGGAGATCACATCTCTCACCAGCCCATCGGCCACACCCACATCGAGAAAGGTGTGTTCACAGAGGCTCTGTGTGCCCTCTGGGGAGGAGAAAGGCAGAGCCCATGAAGGCAGTGTCCTGCTAATGTTGTTTCCGTGCTGCTTCCTAATCATACAGGGTGGTTTCGACTTCAAATTTCAGGAAAGCATAGTGCAACCCATAACTTGGAGGGCTTGAATGATCCAAAGAAAATGTGTGAACTGTTTGTGTAAAACTGTGGTTAAAGCTGGGCATGGTGGCACCCGCCTGTAGTTCCAGCACTCAGAAGGCTGAGGTGGGAGGATCATTGTGAGCTGGAGACCAGGGGGTTACAGTGTGAGCAGCTTGAACTGCATAATGAGATCCTGTTTCAAAAAAGACCAAAAAATAAATAAATAGATCAATGAATAAAACTTGGTTAGAAAGGTCTCCTTTAAGAAGGAAGCCTTTTTGAAAGGTAGAAAATTGATTGTCACAAATTTACATAGAAATCTGTCAAAATTGCGTAAGTTTAAGGACCTGTTGCGAAAGGAAAAGTTAACATGTTAAGTAGTATTTTATCCTTGAACTTTGTTTTCTATTTCAGGATTCAAACAATAATTAGCACTTGTACTATATGTCAAGGTACTTGCTAAGCAAATTATATTTTTCTTCAAATATACAGATAGCAAAATGTAAGGATAAGCCCAAGAATGTATAAACCCTCACACACATTCTCCCGGCATGAACAAGCCCCTGGCTAAGGCCCCGGCTAGAAATGGGGCTGGGCTGCCCTTCCTTTGCTGTGTGAGGCTTCTTTCCTTCAGCCTTCTGCGTGTGAGTGCAGCTGCGTCACTGCACATATAGGCAGGACTTACAGAGTCACTGTAATCCACCGCAGTCCAGAGTGCCTGTGAAATACAGCTGACATGCTAGCAAGCGGTGGTCAGCTCTCAGAAATCCACTGGTTCCTGGACAGTTCTAAGCTTCTCTTCTTACTTGACATTTTTTTCCCTACAAGAACTAAAGGAGGAAAAATCCTGAGTTTCCTAGATGCACCTTGGTTAGTGTGTCATGGCATCAGCAGGTGCTCTCAGTCTTGGGAGCTGCAGGTGTCTGTCCAGCCATGCCTGTGCTCACACAGATGCTGTCCACTTGGGGAGTCTTGAAGAGCCCTCAAAGAGCTTCCTGGTGACTCTTCTGATGAAACATTGATGGTTACTAGGAGGGAAGAGCAGGCCAGCTCTTAATTTGCAAAGTTCAGGGTGTTTTCATTTAAATGTTCCCTCCTCTGTGTTTGAGAGAAAACAAATTCTTAAAGCCGTGTAGACATCCTTCTGAGCAGCAGAGCAAGGTCTGCCTACAGTAACTTTACACACAAAAAAGTGAGAAGATTTTTTTTGTTAGACAATTATGAAAATGAATGGTAAGCCTTTTTTGTTTTTTTAACCTGTGATCAGAGAACACTTTCCCTTGGTGGAATGTTTTGTAAGCAGTATCAGTGTGTTCTGCAGCTATTTCCGCATTAATGTGGCCTTTGTAGAAATGAAGATGCTGTGTGGCTTTTCCAAAGCTTTTAAGAGCCTTCTTTAAAAAGGGAGCTTCCGTGATTCAGTTGAACTATTAGCAAGGACTAGACCTCACATCAGAAAGACTCTCCATATCACCAGTTACAAACACAGAAATTACTCTTCTTGGGGAGCTTACAGTAGGCTAGCAGAGTGGCCATCAGTCTCATGTCTGGCTCAGATGGTGACACAGTGCTTTGTTTTTGGTGTTTGCATTGTTGGCTCTCCTGTGGCTCACTCTCTTGTGCCTTGGCCTCCTAGGCTTCCTCTGGCTTTGGATCATCTGCTGAAAGCAGCCACAGGAAGCCCAGGCCAAAGCATCCTGTTGTTAACCTGTTTTGGGGTGAGACTGATTTCTGTGTGTTTTGTTTTATTTTTTGTTTTGTTGTACGGAGGCTCACACCCAGTGCTTTGGGAGAGCCAAGCAAACACCCTATTAGGAGCTATATCTCCAACCTGGTGAGAATTGAAAATACTGTCTATTGACTGATCAGTTACTGAGGAAAGTAAGTGTTCAGAAATATAAACTGTGTTCTCATCCATCCTTGTAAGCGTGATATCCATGCTCTGGAAGTTGTGTCCTGTTCTCCTTATATTCCGACCATACTGTTAACCAGGTGTGGTTGTTATTTAAAAGAGGATGAGCTTGTGTTAATGATCTCTGGCTTTCTCTGTGGGCGCCTGAAATGACAATGTGCAGAGAGTGACCTTTACCTCGTGGCTCCTTACCTGTGCCTGTGGCTCATATGTGTGCGCCCCTCTCCTCTCTGTCATGCTTCCCTTCCCTGGATGTGGCTGGTGCTCTGGGGTCACCTTAGACCACAGGAAATGTCTGGTTAACACACGAAGAGATGGAAACATTCGCAGCCATCCTGTAAATGGTCATTCAGCCCTGCTGCTCGCGCTCCGAAGTGTGTTTCTCACTCCAGACCAAAGGGTCCTTTGCGTTTTGTTGAAAACAAAAGTTATTTTGCATTTGTTTCAAATATGTGTTCTTTTTAGGTGATTAGCTAGTAGCTAATTGTGATATTTGCATTTTTAAGATTTTTACAAGAATTTAGTTTGTAGACTTGCCCCATTTAGAGAAGATGTAATTTGCTTCTCCTTTTGGAGAGACCTCCATTGAGCACTGCGTTGTGGTTGTCTAACCCCGACCTTCTCCTGTACAAGTGTGCTTGGCATGGAGAAAGTCAGCTCCTTGCATGGAAAATTGAAATTCTTGGATTTGCATGAGTTGCATGATGCTTTGATATTTAGAATGTTTTTCACTCAGTCAAGGTGCACGTTCCCTGCAGAATTAATTTGCTTGCACTACTAAAGTTCACTAATGCTAATAATTATGTTCCTTTGCCTTCCTAACAACCTAACATCAGGAAGATGAGGAGGGAAGCTGGCTCATGTTGGAGTCTTTCTATAGTATTTCTTCAGTGTGTAGCAACAAAAAGCAATTGAGTATGTAAACGTGTGTGATCTGCCTTCATAGGTGTTTTTCACACATTAATTTATTCCTAGTATTATTGATGACTTAAAGTGTTAACCAAACAAAGCACAGGATTAAACACTACATCTCAGGGACAATTTTGAACATTTCTCATATGGGATCATGGTACTTACTTTGAATGTACATTGCTTTGTATGCCATTTTTATATCTTTTCCCTGCTATTACAGTAGCCAGGTCTCCAGCACAGCCAAACATAAGCAGGGACAGTGGACACCCGCTGTGCTTCTTTCTGTTCAGGGAGACATTTGGTCCCTTACCCTGAGGTTTTTACCTGCAGGCTTTTGGTAGATGGCCCTTAATAGATTGAGGCAGTGGTCTTTCATTCCTAGAATGCTGAGTTTCATAAACGAATGATGTATCTTGTCCCACATAAGGTATTATGAGGCATAGCTTTCTTTGTTGATCACGTGATTGGGCAAATTTCATTAATTTTTTCCTCCTCAGTTGCTGAATCAACCAATTCCTGAGTCAGTAAACCCACATAACGTGATTCCTTATTTTTGATGTAGTGCAGGCTTGTCCCAAACTCAAAATACTCCTGCCTCAGCCTCCTGAGTGCTGGGTTTACAGGCATGCACCACCATACCAGACCAAAAAAAAGTATGTCCTGAAGCCAGATATGATGATGCACCCCTGTAGTTGCCAAAACTCAAGAGACTAAGCCCGGAAGTTGGCTGCTATAATTTCCAAGACAATTGGGCATTAAACTAAGATGGACATCACACTAAGATTGGCATCAATGTCTCTTTGCATAGAGTGCCTCTGGATAGCCACTGCACTCAAGGCTGGTTACTATAATGGGATCTCTGTCTTTGAAAGTTGCGGGGAGGGGCTGGGGATTTAGCTCAGTGTGGCAGCCCCTGCCTCGCAAGCATGAGGTCCTGAGTTCAATTCCTGGTATCCACCCCCCAAAAAGACAGGAAAAAGTTGGATAGACTGTTCTGTAAGTTGTATCTGGCCCGGTTGATTGACAGTATTGTTTCAGTCTGTAGCCTTCCTGAAGTTTTTCCTTTTCTTAGTCCCTTTTGGTTTTTTGATTAGCACATTGAATCAGTTGTTAAGAGAGGAGTTTTGAAGACTTGCAAATTTAATTGTATGTTTCTGTTTTTGTTCTCAGTTTCATTAGTTGTTGGTTTAACTTTTTAAATTTACTTTTCCTGATTTTCAAATACCCTTGTCATTTAGGAAGACACAGTATTATAAATAAAATCAAAACCAGTCAGAGCTCATTTGAATGATTTGAATTGATTCTTCAAACTTGTTCATGAGTCGTGATCATTCTTTATTCTTATTTTATTATTTGAAAACTAATTCAGAAAAGGAATTTATAGACAGTTTTGATTTTACTATAGTTTGGTAAAGTGTCCTAAATGAGTCATAAAATTTTGCCAATATGATTTCTATTGTATAAAACTTTAAGAAGTTGAAAAGGTAGGAATGGGAGACCAAACTATTTAGAAATTGTAAAGAGCAATATTGTCATTCATTTAGCCTTTGAGAATGTTGTCTAGATTAAAAATGTGAACTGATGTCACTCATTTGTTGAAATCAGACACTTGCATATGGGGACATGAACCACGAGTGGATTGGCTACAAGTGGCTGCCCAGCCTGGGCCTCGCTCAGTACCGAAGCTATTTCATGGAGTGCCTTGTGGATGCTCGGATGCTGGACCACCTGACAGAGAAAGACCTGTGGGGGCAGCTGAAAATGGTGAACAGGTTTCACAGGTGAGGTTGTGCAAGTGGTTCTTCCTAACGGGTCAAGAGACTTCACAGTGCCACCTTTCAATAACCCCTTATTTTGTAAATAGGAACAGCTTTCAGTGCGGACTTACGTGCCTGCGAAGGTTAAATTATGATCAGAAAGAACTGGAAAGAAGAAGAAAAGAAAGTCAGGATGAAGTTAAAGGCAAGTACATTATGCCAGGTGGATGTAGCACATGCCTGCTGCCTGCCAAACAGTCTCATTGATTGCCTGTTTTAAAAAGTGTAGCAGCCAGCTGAGCTGGCACATACCTGCAATCCTAGCACTCAGGGAGGACATAACAGCAGAGTGACAAGCCTAGCCTAGGCAGCTTAGACTCCGTGAAACCTTCTCTCAAATGAAAAGTATAAAAGGGCTAGAGAAGCAGCTCAGTGCACAAGCCTTGTGTTTATTCCTGAGTGCCTAAAAAAAAATCAAGGGCTTATTATAAGGCACCTGCATCACCCTGGACTTGATCCCAAGTACTGCAAAAAAAAAAAAAAAAAGCTAAATAACCATGCATTTCTCTGGGAATTACACAAATTACAGTTGCAGCTACTTAGAACACGGAGGCAGGAAGATCACAAATTCAGGGCCGACCTGTAAATTTAGTGAGACCCTGTCTCATAAACAAAACTAGTTTTGAAAATTGGGGGTGCTAAGAATGTAGTTCAGTGATAAAAGTCTTGCTAAGCATGCACAAGGCTCTGGCTTCCATCTGCAATACCACAAAAAAAGAAAAACAATCAGGAAAGACTTTTAGTGGAAACAACTGGCTTGGCATGATAACAAGAGGAGGGATGGAAAGGGGTGCCCTGAGACAGGGTGTGCTTATCTCAGTCTGTAGGCTGCCCCCTTGGGGCTGGCATTATTTCATGTAGTTTTCCGTTTGTTAGTGTGCACTGTATACGCTCTCTCAGAGATGCTGCCTTGTGCTGTTAGATCAGAGCAAGGCAAACAAGCCACTGCCTTTTGCTTACTGGACAGAGGTCAAAACTACACTTTGGGGCTTTCTCCAAGGCCTGCGGCAGCACGCAGGACACACAGTTCTGCTCCCAGAGGGAGGGAGAGGTCAGGCAACCCTTAGCCTAGCACCCATAATTTTGTAATTTATTTATTTACTTATTTGAGACAGAATTTCACTAAGTAGCCTGGTCTGGTCTTGCACTTGTGATCCTCCTGCCACAGCACCCATACTAACTGAGACTGCAGTCCTTACAGAAGCAGCAGAGTGTCCTGCGGGCAAAGGAAAGACATGTCCGAAACAGGCTAGGAGGTAGGAGAGGGCATGGCAGCCCCCTCAAAATGACAGGGACAGGCATGTTCTCTGAAGACAACACTGAATGTCATGCTCACGGGAGTCTCTCAGAATTCTCGGGAGTTACTGATAGTACTGCAGTGATGAGAAGAAAGGAGACTTACGGAATAATGCATCAAGCACTGTCTCAGCTCTCTCTTAGTTCATTCATTCAGGCTACATCGTGGTTCTGTCATTTACATCCTCATTCTGATGTCTTTCTCTAAATAAATAAAAGGATGGTGGATTGGCCAGGGATGTAGCCCACTTGCCTAGCCTGCGCAGCCCTGGGTTTTAATTCTTTTACTGAAAAAAACAAAACAAAACAAAATGAAGAATACGTTGAGGTCTATTTAGAAAAGAAAGTCATGGCCGGGGATATAGCTCAGGACTGAGCGCTTGCCTGCCAAGTGCAAGGTCATGAGTTGGATTCCTGGTACCAAATCAAAATTGAGAAAATAAAATCAGACATGAAATGTATCAATCCATTTAAGTTGTTTTCTATATCCCTTCTCCATATTTTGTCAGTTGACAAAAGCAGTCTTTGAAAAAACTGATGATCAGATATATTTTTACAGAATGGCAATTTTTAGGTCTTTAATAGAGTACATTTAATAATTATCTTGCAGGAAATAAGATTGTCAAAGTCTAGATGTTGGAAAATGTCTTTAAAATTCGGTCTTTGTAAAACACTAAGATGTTAACATGACAAAAGCTTCAGAAGCAAAGGGGCCTGGGATAGGGCTCAGTGGCTTAGCACCTACCTGGTAACCACAAGGCTCTGAGTTTGATTCCCAGTACAACAAAAACAAGAAAAAGAAAAAGAATGTCAGAAGGTCAGAAGCAAGGAGTTTGTGTTGACCTGAACAAGGTATCTGAACTGTCATGGCATCTGCCCCTTTCATGATGGAGAAGCATTTCAGGAGACTCTGGGGTCTGTGTAGGAACCATGCTTATATATGCCGGGTCTGACTGTGACCCTCAGCCTGCTGTTTTTGCAGTCTTAGGAATTAAACCCCAGGCCTTGGGCATGCTAGGCAAGTGCCCTGCCACCGAGCTACATCCTCAGCCAATCATGCTGTTTTGTTCCCTGAATACATCCTGTCCATAATCTTACTGTGACCCCTGAGTGTACTAGGGGAGGCTCCTAAAGGGAAAGTTTTTATTAGAATGAGGCCAAACCAAAACAGCTGTGTCTAGGTGTTGAGTCTGTCAGTATCTGTGAGTGTGGAGTCTGATTTCAGGTACTGAGGGATCAAGATCCATGCGAGGAATCTTTCCCCTGCACTGCAGGACATGTGTGATGAAGAGGTTTTCTGAAGCCACATTTACAGTTGTTTTGTTCTTTACAGATGTGCTTGTTTGGACCAATGATCGAGTGATTCACTGGGTCATATCCATTGGCCTTAAAGAATATGCAAACAACCTCAAAGAGAGTGGGGTTCATGGTGCACTGCTGGCCTTAGATGAAACCTTCACTTACAACAAACTGGCCCTGTTGTTACAGATCCCCAGAGAGAAAAGAAAGGTGACCACAGAGTCTGTGCCTCTGTCTGCTTAGTCACAGTGTTTGGTTTTTCTGTGGTTCTAGAATACTTATTGTTCGTTTGAATGGAGAGAAAACTTTTTTTTTTTTTAATCACTACCAGTGATTGAACTCACGATGGCCTGCTTGCAAGGCAGCCGCTTGTGCCCTGAGCTAAAACCCAGCCACTGAATGGAGAGAAAACTTAACTCTAGACCACTAGAATCTCTTTCTCTAACTAATCTATAACACGGTAGTTCAAAATCAGCAAATGCTTGATTTTTCACTATCTTTTTTTTTTCACTATCTTTTTCTTTCCATTTTGCGTGGCAAGCATGTGAGTCTTTGAGGTGTTTGTTTTTAAAAACCTGTAATGTGTAACATCCTTCAGATATATTTAGTTGTTGTTTTGTTACTTCAGGATCGAAATGTCTTGGAAAAAGAATTTGCCAACCTTTTGCTCCTGGGGACTGACAGACATTTTGATGACGTAAGTTTTCAGCTGTTTTCCCCTCTCACTGCTAGGAATCAACCTGAGGGTTCACATGTGCCAGTTAAACGCTCTACTACTGATCTTTGCTCTTGGTCCACTACTTAATTTTTGGCAACCTTCAAAAATCATTTCCACATTATCCAACAGATTGCAGCCTGCGATCAAAGTCTTAAGTTGTGTTTTGGTGACAGCTGAATGTCCTGCCCCAGTCCTTGTGTTTGGAAATTTTCTTTCAAATGTATATTACATTTCCCCTCATGCTAAATCATCACTCACCTATTCCCATGCATTACGATTCTCTTCATCGAGCATCAAGAGTACTTGATTTTCAAAAAGAAGATGAAAGCTGACTCTGAAAGCAAAACACTTGTTGGAATATGCACCTGGTATAAGCCAGGATTATTTGTAGCTGGAGTATTATTAAAATAAATAAAAGTACATTACATAGCAGGCAAGAGCTTTGTCCACAATAAGAAATAAAATATTCTGATGGGTGAGAGAATCACATCCCTGGCGGCCCAGGACTGTCCTCATTTCTCCAGTTAGGCCCCAGCTGGAATGTAATCATGCTTCCTCTCACACTGAAGTTCCAGTGTGTGCGGCACATTGGAAGGTCACCAGGAAAGGCTAAGTAAAGCAAAGCAGTCAGGGTTTAGGAGTCATTCTGAAGGACAGTTGTCTTTGTTAGATGTGCCTGTTCTGTGTTTTCATTTGCCAGGAGAATAACAAAAACTGTAGGAGAGCATCTTCATGGAGAAAGGAGTTTAGATCAAAGGACATTCGCAGCGTGGCAGATGGGTCATCAGAGACACTCCCTGCAAACTTCCGAGTCTCTTCTTCCATGTCTTCCCCCTCTTTGCAGTCAAAGAAGATCCAGATGGACGGTATGTGGTGGGCCATGTAACCCAACACTAGCTGGGAGCATGTGTGCGCTAATAATCACCTAGAGTGGCCATTGAATGTGTTACAAAGCATCTGAGTTTGGTTGCATGCCCAGGTGTCAGTGCTTCGGAATTAACCCTAACATTTGTTTGCAAATGGTTAACAGCAATAATAGAATTTTTAAAAATCTGTCTGGTTGAACGTTAGCATCCTTGCCAACTAATAAAGTGGAGCACCCATCTGTGTTCTCAGGGCTGAGGCTGATGCACCTGTGGGGTGCAGTGCGTGGCAGGCAGCACTGGCTTGCCAGGAAAATTGCAGTGTGGCACTTGGGACTTCTCTCCGCACTAAAAGGAATGGCGGAGTAAACTTTGGCTCACAACTTCCAGCTTCTGCCAGCTCTGTCTTTCCTTTTCCCTTCCCTCCAGTATCATCTTTCCATATACTTACATTGTGCCACCTGAAGAAGGACAGGGAAGAAGGCAGAAGCCTTGTGGAGACTGCTAGGGCAGCCCTGCTGCATTATCAGTGAGAGAAGGCCAGGCGTTGACCTTTCCCTTGCGGTCGGGATGGCCCTTAGGGACCTGCTGACTGAAGAGTGCAGTTGGCTGAGAGGAGACCGTGAGTCCCTGACAGTCCTGCCCACCTAGGAAAAGGCACTGCACAGGGTCCTGAGCGAGCCCAGATCCACATCCACCTGTGGCGGTAGCAGGTACATGACCTTGAGCAAGTCATGCAGCTGTGCTGTGCCTCAGTTTCCACAGCTGTAACTTGGGCATCACAGTAGTGTGATTTTGATACTTCAATGAGTCATCTGGGTGTAGCTGATGGAGTCCAGGCCCCGTGCGTTGCTGACAGTCTCAGGGTTAGGTGAAGACTTCATTCCTTCTCATTCCTGATGTACGTGGTTGTGCTGTATAAACTGTACCACTGGGCTTGTTAAAAGATTCCTGTTGTTAGCCCCTCCTTTAGGTAGTTCTCTTTTTTTAATCTTTCTTGCTGGTATGAAAATCAGAGAAAAGTACATTTATAAAAAGTTTTTAAAACTGAACACTTGCCAGTGTGTCTTTTAGGTAGCAAGTTCTTAAGAATGAGCACATTCTCCCTCAAGGTGTCTTACAAATGTTGGCAAGGCATGGAAGTGCATGCCTTAACCCCAGTACTCAGGAGGCTGAGGCAGGAAAATCATGATTTTGAGATGTATGTGGGTCATAAAGCCAGGTTAAGGCTATACTGAGCTACATAGGAAGACCTTGAATCATAAATAAAATAGATAAATAAGTAAGCTGTGATGGGCCTTGAGCTTAATTTCCATCGGCTTCCTGAACAGTCTAAATGAGTGCTCTGTTGTTTTCCCTGTACCTTCAATTTCTGTTGGCTATAAGATGACAAGTTCTCTCTGAACACCGCAAGCAATATTAACATAGCTGCATGTGGCGATCACTTGTAATTCCGGCACTAGGGAGGTTAAGGCAGGAGGGTGGCTGAGAGCTCAGTATCTGCCTGAACTTCACAGGGATTTTAGGGCAAGTGTGGACTACACAGGGAGACCTTGTTTCAACAAAAGAAAATAAAAATAAAGGGTAATTGTTATGGTTTGAAAACTGTTGTCAACTTAACATCAGCATGCATTCAGAGAAGATGCTCCACCTGAGAAGGGTTGCCAGAATAAACAGGTGGAGAAGAAGGGAGGTGTTAAGAGGGATTGAGGTGTTAAGGAGGCATTGTGGGTTCTCCTACGAGTTGCTGTCTGAGCTGTTGGTTCTCCTGGAGAAGCTTTGGTTCTCACATCGAGCATTGCATACTGGCTCCGGAGGGGAAGATATTTGCTGCTTGGTCTCCAGGAGGAACTCCTCACGCTGCTTCCTGGCACATACCCAACTGTGCTTGTGGTCAGAGGAGCTTGGGGTCTCCATGTCACTGAGGACAGCTGTGGTGCCTTTCAGGCTAGCCCTCTCTTTGTTGTGAGTGTGACTTCTTGGCTCCAGTGTAGAACCCTCATCCCACTAGCACAGCTCCTTCATCCTGCTGGCATAGACTTTCTGGCTTCCACTGCTGACCCAGGGTCTTCCCGGCACAGATCCATAAAAGAGACCGGTGTGAGGCCTCCTTTCTTGTGGGCTCTGGACTTCCAGTTGGACTCGTGGGAGGCATTGTCCTGAGCTCTGGGTTTTTATCTGGACTCATGTGGGACATTGCCGTGGGGTTTACTCTCTTGACTAAATATTCTATGTCTTTGGTGTTGCAGATGAATTTCCTGCATTTTCCGGTGTTAACGCCCAGTGACCATTATAAAAATATTATAAACTCCATGTCGTGATCTGAATTGTTCTGTGTGTACAACCCCTGACTACAAAAGTAGTATTAATGAGTTTGTTTGTTATTGATTTGTTTTTTTGGAGGCATTTTTGTGGTTGTGGTTGTTGTTTTAGGTTTTGGGGTGGTACTGGGGAGGGAGCCTCCTTCCTGCATAACACGACATCGCTTCTTTTATAATCCAGATAGGGTCTTATTAAGTTGTCCAGGCCTGGTTTGAACTTGGAGTTTTCCTGCCTCAGCCTCCCAGAGTGCTAGCATTACAGGCATGTGCACCCATACTGTGTAACACTAAATTTAAATGGATTGAATAGAAAAAGTTGTCAGGGTAAATTACATAGAAGACGTCTACGCCATATTGGTAAGAAGGTGGACTGTTACAAATGACTTGAGAGTTGGAGAGTGTGAGATAAATTACAGCAGGTCTCCTAGACTTTAGAATGAAGGTTTACAATGACTGCCGAGTCTTATCAACACGGCCAGCTATCTGTTTCTTCTAGAGCTATGGCAGGATGTTGCTAAGAAATATTCCTGGTATACTTGCAGGAAAACAAAACACTGTTGAACCGGAAGCGTAAATATCTGCAGAAGATGCTGCAAGCTCTTTACCCAGTTTGTGACAGGGCTGTACTGCCTGTTTAGCCACCCAGTGTTTGTCAAACAAGGACCCTTGTCTCCATATTCGCCATCTTTTTTGTAGGAATTGAGACAAGCTTTAGTCTTCTGAGAAGCACTGGCCACGGCCTCTGCGGCTGTGCCTCTTTGCCTGCAACCCACCCTGAGAGCAGCGAGTGCAGAGCAGCTGGCTTGCCCTCCTCCCCTTCATGCTGCTGATTCACCCCATTCATTCTTGGAGGTCCAGCTCTAGGGCAGAAGGAAAAGTCCAGTTGCTATATAAAAGTACGGCTTCAGGAGCTGCAGAGTAGCTATGTTAGCTGGTTATCCTTTCTGTATGTCCACACTGAGGTGGTTTGCACTTCCAAGGGGCCCTGTTGCTAGTTTAGGTGCCAGTGTCGCCGTGGGTGGTGGAAGAACCACTCTGGGCAGCCCTGTGATGCTCTTGCCAGCTCCTCCCTCTCTCTCTCAGGCACTCTTAGGATTCCTCAGTAGGTACCATTGTAGGTGTGAATATGTGTGTCTTATCTTTTTCCCGTGTGACATGTTAAAACTAACTGCACTCTGTGTTTGCACGCTTCCTCACATGGTTGTTGGAACAGGCAATGCATCAGGAACACAGAGGTTGGATTCTGTGACAGTCAGGACTTACTCCTGCTAAAGACACCTGTTGGTGAGTAGAGAGCAGCGTAATCCCTGGAGATCATCCCTGTACAGCTGTCAGCAGTGGGAAGCTGTAACAGGGCTAACAGCGTGGGCTTAGACCATGAGAATTTACATGGGGAGTTTTAAAATGACAGACGTACTAGCTTTGTATCTATCAAGGTGATTTTAGTTTTTAGCTGACCATAAAGAGGGCAGTGTGTCATTTTTGTTTTGTTAACTCTTATTTTTATTAGTATGTTAGTTGTACCTAAATTCATCATGGAGAGTTGGTACCTGTACAAAGTACATCTTAAATCTTTCTACCTCCCCTCTCCTGTCTCCTTTGTGTCCCCAGTTTTAAGAAAAAACACATTCCCATTTTTTCCTAAAAGCTAAAAATGCCTACTCACTTGAAGTGATGATCTGCTGATGCCATTGTTGGGGGTGGGCAGGAAAGCAGCAGCTGAGAAAAAAAGCCCCCAAAACTGACCACACCAGGAGGCCAGAGCCTGGGACTGGGAAGCATCTCTTCCACTGTGTGCACACACAGTGGGACACAGCTCCTATACTGGCTTTGTTACAAACACATGAGCATGCATATACGGGGAACTGAACCCAGAGTGTTTCCACTGTGCTATATTCCTAGCACCCCATCCCCTTTTCTAGGGGGATAGGGTCTTCCTAGATCATCTAGTCCTTGTTCAGACTTGCAATCTTTCTGCCTCAGCCTTCCAGCATACTGGAATGCAGACATGCCACCATACATGGCAGACAGATTGCATTTTAAACACAAAGCTGCATTGCCATGCCTGGGCGCCAGTGAGCCACCTGTGTGTCCTCATGGTCTGGAGCTTTGACTGATTGGATGGCAGAGGTGGCCTTGACCCATGTTCAGAACCCCAGCTTGAGCTCTGCCTACTGTGCTCATGTTCAATGCCTCAGCTGGAATCTCCATAGTCTTTTAACTTTAACTTTTAGAACTGTCGCAAAATCTAGACAGTGAAGGACCTCTCTAGTCTGTGAGCAGGGTCCTCGGTGTTCTGTCTGCTGACGCTCCAGCAGGGAGGAGGCAGGAGGCCTGGGGGAGTGGGCCCCAGCGTGTGTGTCTGAGGTCATGGTCGTTTTCCAGGTGGTTTGTATTAAGAGAGGCTTTCTGTTTGTTTTTCTCTTCCAGTTTACCCACACTACTTCTACAGATGATATGCAGCATTTTGAACCCAACAGAGACTACATTTTTAATTCAGTGGAATCGCTATCTGTTAATACTTCTTACATGGACTCCTAAGATATTTTATTACAGAGTTTTTAGTTAGTAAATAGTTCATGAATACTATAGAGAAAAAATGTTAGAATTTAATGTTTCTTATATTTATATAACCTTAGGACTTTTCATTTATATATTTACTCACTTTTTCATGTATATCTAGGCTATAAATATCTCTCAAATCAATTCATGTTCTTATACCTAATTTTAGTCTTTCAAATGAATGTATAAATCCTGTGAACAAATACGGGGCTTTTGTAAATTGTGCTCTTATGCTATCACTGTTTAATATTTTAATGATAAGCCATCACAGAAATAAGGATTTTACAACCTTTATAAAATTGTCATGATATAAGCAATGTGCATTATCCTTCGCCTTGTTCTACATCAGTCATTTGGAAATCAGCAGACTTCATTCCAAGCAGTTGTCATATTTAGAGGTTGACTGACCCTAACTGTCCTTTTTCTAGCAAGAAATCAGCATGTAAAAAGTCGGGACTGACCCGTTACACCAGAGCACTATAGAACTTTCTTAGCACTGGTTCCCTTTTCCCCATCCTGACTCTGGACTTGGGGAGCTTGTCTTCAGAGGCTTGAGCAGAAGCCATGAGCTGGGAGTTGCTCTCAGCAGGGCTGGAGTGGCCAGGGGCCAACCCCAGCCTGGCACCTTCTCTGCCTCTTTCCTGTGAGCATGTGGAAGGTGCCTCCAACTATTTTTGCAGACCAATCACTGAGCACTGTGCACACATCTCACAGACATTGGTGCATGAGCAGATGAAAGCAGGAAACCCTGAAAATAAAGTTGTACAGCTCTAACGAATAAAGGCCTTGTTTTTCATATGTGAGTCACCTTTTCACATTGGTTTGTAAACATGTTTCAACAAAGAATGTAGTCATAGCCAACTTGGATTGTACAAGTAGCAAATGTAATATACTTTTCACTGGCATATTCAAAAGCCAGCAAGGAAGGAGTCAGATTACTGTGCGTGTTATTCATTATGCAACTGATACATAGGTAGAGGCAGCATGCCTTTTTAATTTACTTTGTACTTTCAATCCATTGGTAAAGTTCATTGTTACCTCTTTTTCTATTAAACTTTTGTGAACTCTCTCAGGATGTAACAAAGTGTACAGTCTACTTTTGAACTATTTTTATCACAGTATTATTTATTGCTTTCTTTCAATAAAGTTCTGAAACATTTTTCACTGTCAATGAAGAGTTCTTTGAACAGGCCATGATTGTGTTAATAGTTTAGTGTGGCTGGATTGTGTGTGTGTGTGTGTGTGTGTGTGTGTGTGTGTGTGTGTGTGTGTGTTTTACCGGGCATCGAACTCATAACCTCACACTTGCCAGGCAGGCACTCATGCCACTGAGCTAAATCCCTGTCTCATGCACACCTATTTTGCTTCCTGCTCCTGGTTCTCTGAAGGCAGTGTCGCTATGGAAATCAGCCAACAGAAAGCTGGACCACATAAGTATAGTGGGGCATAAGGCTAGAGAAGATGGGGTCCTGCTGGAGATTGGGCCTGGTTAGACCAGGGCGGGAAGGCACCCCCAGCCCAGTTGGGAGTGGGACACTGACAAGCTCAGCTTTGCCTGCTGTGTCAAGCCCTTTGTTCCCGCAGTGTTACTCTCCTGTTTTCGAGTTTCACATTGTGCATTTCAGAGTAATCATGTGTTTGAGGTTTTGGTTCCCGGCCGTTTTCCCTGCAAGGAGTATGTTTTTCTGAATGGGGTTTGCAGAGCAGAAAGAAGAGACCAGACTCTCTTGCATTCCTTGGTGTGTCCGTGGGTGGTGGGTGAGTAGAAGGTCCCTATCGTAGTGCTATTGTTGCTGCTATTCTGATCACCCACATGTCACTTAATGCATTTCACATATCCCACATGCATTTATGTCTCCTCATTTCCTGGCCTTAATTCCCTGTGAGAATGATTAGTCAGTGATTTTACCTTCCTGTGATCTCTCAGTCTCCAAGGGGGAATTTACCCCATGGATCCCAAGAGCCAGGCTGCTCAGGCCCTTGTAGAAAATGCATCGTATTTGTGTAGAACCTACATGTGTCCCTGCATACATGCTTTGTATCCTTTCTGGATAACTTACACTAATAGAGTGCCAATTTCTATGGGAATAGTAGTTTGCTGTTTAGGATACTGACAAGAAAAAACAACTGCATGTATTCAGTACAGACAGGGCTCCCCCCACCCCGGTACTGGAGGTGGAATCCAGGGCCTTCACACTAAGCCATGTCCCCAGCCCTTTGTATTTTCAGGCAGTCTCAGTACATTGCTAAATTGCTTAGGCTGGACTTAAACCTCAGGTCACGGTGTTGGAAGTACAAGCACACATCACCAAATGAATTCAGATGCAGATATTTAAAGAAATATTCTCAGTCTGAAGTTGGTTGACTCCTTGGATGTATAACCCACGAGTACAAAGGGCCCGTGGTGCTACCTGAGGACAGTTTTTCAGACCCGTGACACCTGACAGCGCAGGAACACACAGAGGGAGGAGGTAGCAGAAGGAAGCAAGCAGGTCCTCTGGGAAGTCCTGGAGAGTCCTCACCTCCACAGCTTGAGGGGGAGCCCCCAGGGGTGCCTTGGGGCACCTCCACTCAGCCCCACCTGGCTGCTCCCAGAGGGAGGGTTGGAAATCTGCTCACACTTGTTTGGGAGTTTGTTCAATTCAGGCATCCCAGCGTCCTCTTGGAATCCACATGTGAACTGTTCTCACACCTCAAGGACCCTGATGCAAAGCATCCTGTGTTACATGAGAGCCCTACTTCCGCCCCGTGACTCTTTGGCAACACCTAACTGTGATTTGATTATAACTACTTAGACATCTCACCCTTCACTTTCAGAGGAGACCGATGGGAAAGCATGGGCCTTTACTCTTAATGGGGGTAGTTGAGTTGATGACCTGAGACTGTCCTATAGTCCACAGTTCTTGTCTTCAGGTGGACAGAAGTCTCTCACAAAGTGTTATAACAGTACTGTAGCATTTCAAAAGCTATAGTGCTGGAGAGATGTTAATCACTAAGGCTTCAGCCCTCTGGAGTGTGTGTGTGTGTGTGTGTGTGTGTGTGTGTGTGTTACAAGGTAGACAAGTATGGTACAGCTGAGCTCTACTCCCAGCTCCATGTTGTTAAAAGTAAAACTTGAACATCGTTTGTGTTCTCTTCCCGCCTCCTCCTCGCTCATGGAGAACTGTTTGGAATCTTTATTGTGTTACTCTCCCACTCCTGCGTGTGTTCAGTGTTCTCTCCCAATTTGCCCACCAGTCCTGCCTTTGGCTTCTCTTTGTGATCTATGAAAATTTTAGCATGCAGCACACTTCTGTCTCCTCCCAGCAGAGCTGAGTCAAAACGGAATCTGTGTTCACTACTTTGAGTATTCAGGCTGCAAATGTTTCTTTCTAGATGTGCGAGGTACTGCACCATAAAGGCACTTTACAGGCTGTATTTCCTCTGCTGGGGTCCTCCCAGGTGATATCATGTGATGTCCAGAGGGACAGCTCAGGACATAGATGAAACATGATCACCTGTGCTGATGACAGTTGAGGGCAGGTGAGATCTGTGAGGATTTGTCTTTTTTGTTGTTTTCTGTGACAGGGTCTCACCGCGCAGCCAGGCGGGGTCTCATTCCTCAGTCTTCCCAGTGCTGTGATTACAGCCGTGTGCCACCATGCCCACCTGTGTTAGTCTGCTTGTGAGTATGGAATTTTCTGTAATGAAATACAAATAGTATCTTAGGGAAACCCTCTAGTATAAATTTAGTCTTTATATTTTTGTAAGTACTGCTTCTTGGCCTTCACTCTTAAAAGACTCCATCCTGTACCAGGAATGTTTACATCACAGCCCGGTATGTATCCCCTATATTTCATAAATCCTATCATGATTGTACTCTTTAATGTGTTTCTGTCTGAAAGTTGGATGCTACATACCAGGAAAGACATTCTGCACTTGAGAAGCCACATGAAGACATCCGGCTTACTGTGGCCTGCAAATTCTTGGCCTCTCTGCTCAATGAAAGTGGAGTCAATTCTCTCCTGACTTGGAAAGTTTTTTTTTTCAAATACATCTTATTTCAAGGAGAAAAAAAAGCTCAAATTTCAAAAGATACAAATGGGGAGGAAACAATGATATATACATGGTGCATTGTCATCCCCAAATCATTCACCCAGAGTCCAAGAAATCCGCAATCAATTGTCCAAACATTACCAGCAGAAATCTTACTCTTCAGTGAACTCAGGAGAAATCAGTAGTAGAACTATTTTAACTTCTTTTTGCATACATATACATACGTTGTTTTAGCTTTTCACACTGAACAATATGATGTTTACACACGCATGTCTTATTTCGCTTATGAATACGGTCTCAAGTTGCATCCATTTAGCTACCAAAGTCTCCAGTTTATCCTTCTTTCTGGCTTTATACTCCATTGTATAAAAATACCACATCTTGTTTCCTTCCCCATTGGATGGGCATTTGCGTTGTTTCCAAGATCTGGCTATTACAAATTGTGCTGCTATCAACATGAGTACAGATACATCACTGTAGTACAATGTTCTTTTGGGAAGATGCCCAGAAGGGGAATAGCTGGGCCAAATGGGACCTCAGGTCCTAGTTTTTTGAGGAATCTCCACCCTGATTTCCAAAGTGGTTGCACCAGTCTGCATTCCCACCAGCAGTGGAGCAAAAGGATTCTTTTTCCCCACAACCACTCCAGCATTTGTGTTTGCTTGATTTCTTGGTAATAGTCATTCTTTCTGGGTGAGATGCAATCTCAGTGTTGTTTTAACTTGCATCTCTCAAATGAGCAGTGATGTTGAACATTTTTTTTCACATATTTACTTGTTGTTTGTATTTCTTCATCTGAGAAGTGTATATTCATCTCAGATGTGCAATTTTTGGATTGGGTCTTTAAATCTGGGGGACTAATTTTTTTTAGTCCTTTATATATTCTTGACAATACTATCCTTTGAGGTACAGCTGGCCATCATTTTCTCCCTCCTTGTGAGTTGCCTCTTCACTGTGTTGGTGGTTTCTCTTGGTGTGCAATAGCTTTTCAAGAGGATGAGATCCCAGTTGTTGATTCTTTGTGATAGTTCCCGTGAAATCTGGTTTTTGTTCATGAAGTCTTTTCCTACACCAATATCTTCAAGAGTTTTACCTACTCTATCTTCTAGCAGATTAAATGTTTACGTTTTAATATTCAGATCTTTGATCCATTCTGATTTTAGCTTAGTACCTGGTAAAAGACACAGGTCCAGTTTTCATCTTTGACAGGTATGGAGCCAGGATTTCCAGCACCATTTATTAAAGAGGCTATCTGTCTTCCAGTGTATGTGTTTGGCACCTTTGTCAAAGATAAGGTGGCATAGTGGGTCTGGAGTTGTTTCTGGTTTTTCTAATATGTTCAACTGATTTTCAGGTATGATTTTTGCTTTTCCTGTTTTTTTGCTGTTACCGTACTTTTTGTCACAGCAGCATTATGTACAATTTCAAGTCAGGGATTGTGATGCCCCCTGTCTTATCTCCGTTGCTGAGGATTGCCTTTGCTATTCTATAGCTTTTCTAGTTCCACATGAATTCTAGGATTGTCTTCTCTACTTCTATGAGATATGCTCTTAGGATTTGGATTGGAATTGCATTGAATCTGTATAACAGTTTTGGAAGAGGAGCGATTTTCACTATATTGGTTCTTTCTACCCAAGAGCACAGGATATCTCTCCCTTTCTAATATCCTCTTCAATATTCTTTTTCAGAGTTCTGTGGTTTTCAATGTAGAGGTCTTTTACATTTATTGTTAGATTAATTCCTAGGTATTTCTTTTTTTTTTCTTGTATGTTAATGTGAAAGATATTATCTCCCTGATTTCTCTCTCAGTGAGTACAGGAAGGCTACTGATTTTTGAGTGTTGACTTTGTAACCAGCTACATTACTGAATTTGTTTATTAAATCTAGTAGTCTTGTGGAGGAGTATTTGGTGTCTTCTATGTCATCTGCAAATAATGGTAATTTAACTTCTTCTTTTTCTATCTTTATTCTTTTTGTTTCTTTCTCTTTTCTAATTCTTTCAGCTGAAATTTCCAGGGCTATAATGAATAAGAGTGGAGACAGTGGACATCCTGGGCTTGATCCTGATTTTAGAGAAAAAGCTTTCAGTTTCTGTCCATTTAGTATGATGTGGGCTGTTGATTT